GTCAGTTACCCAAAAGTAGGGCTAAGTGTCCAGAGGACAAAAAAAGGCCTTCAAAGAATTCAAGACATTTGTGCAGTAGGTCATGGTGTTGTGCATGTAATTTTCCACATATACTTGAAAGGCTTTTTAAAGAGGTGCATCCAGTTAAAATATACACACTGACTTAAGTGATAACAACTACAGTTGTCTTTAAAAAACCCCAAACTTTAAAAAGACTTACCAACAAAAATATTCTTATTTACAATCCAAGAATAAGACTCCGCAGAGCTCAAGTTTAACTGTTTAACAGCAACTCATTTAGATCAATTACCTATCTCATACATTCTATCATAACAGCTGATTTTACATTTCAGATCAGTTTAAAAATACAAGGATTTAGTCACTGATTTATTGTGCTCCTTTTCACACAAACTCAGTGCTGAACTTTCTGAATCCATGTCCATTCTTCATTAGATCACAGCACTTGGTTGTTTTCACTATAGGTAAAGCATGACAGTTTGGCCTCTATCGTTCAATTTTCCCCCTAATGCCTCATCTCTGATGATAAAGCTGAAGTTCCCTTAAAATGAGGATGAAAACATTCTGCCACTTGCATACCAGAGAGACAAATTAGCTGTAACACCACCACTCTGCACACATACCTCCCAAAAGCACTCCAGTCAATATCTGAAGAGAGCTCTAAGTGCTATTAAAAACACTCTCATGTATTTATATAAGACTGGACCAGCAACACAGAAAACTGGCTCCGCAGCAAAGCTGAAATGTAGTGGGGGAACCCTAAGCAGATGAATTTTGATATTTAATAACTCTGCCTCCCCTTCTTAAGCAACAGGTTTTCCCGTATACTTCAGTCAGTGAACTGCCAGTGTCTAATGTTACTTTTAATTAGCCTCTTCACTTTTATAGCTGGTTGCACTAGTGTTGCTCAAACACATATGGTTTATAAATTCTGCCCTTGTATTAGAAACATTTGCCCAATAATGAAAAAGTATTGGCAACCACATTTTCCCTTCAGAGCTGAGCTTCCTGATCAAACAAGCAAGGACTTTCCACAATCCCTATCCATCCTCCCATCAAAACAAGTAGCAATGCTTTGGTTATACTGCGGAAAACAAAGAAGTTTCACAAAAAGCTCATTGAGAAGCACATTCTGGCAAATGCCACCACAGCAAAGTCACTAGACAAATGAGTGCTACACAGAGGCTTTAAATTTTAGTAACAGAGATCCTATGAATTTCATCATAAAAGGCACTCAAAATTATTTAAAAGGAACTCTTGAAGTAGTTTAGGTTCTGATTATATCACTGTTTTCCTCCCCAAATCTGCCTAAGTGACTAAAAAGCATTTCTAAGCTTTCTACAATCACATAGAGCAGTGCTACATCGACATACCACATTCAACAGAAAACAGTAGACATTAAACTATTTGTTCCAAACTCTCAAATTGCTAGCTGGAAGTTCCACCTTCTTTCAGATGGTCAGAAATCAGAGCCATACAATCCAACCAATTCTTTATTAAACTGTACTGTAACTACAACATGAAGAGTTGAAAGAGTCACCAGCCTTCCTGAAGTAGTGACCAGCACAAAAGGCACACTATGCCAGAGACAGTTTTAGACAGTATTAATTGCTATTTTCCCTGTCCAAGCCTTAAAAGTCCTTCCTTTTTGGTTTTAAACTTTACAGGGAAATTAAACTGACACCCCTGTGTACTGTGGACTGTAAGGGCAACCCCCACTCCAGGCCCCAAAGTCTTTCCTGGCTATGATCAACCAGGTCTAACTCACTGGCGATTCATAGCAAAAGCACTCAAAAGTTGAGGAAAATTGTGAAGCTGGTGTGAGAACAGCAAATACAGAGTTACAAACTGATTTTGTGGAATTCAGGCTCATGCTGAAAGAAGACACATTCCCTGTTTCTGAAAGCTTACCTAAAGGTATTTGGGAAGCAACTAGTAAGACCATTTGAATTTCAGGCTGTAGACACGAGAACACACAAGAAAGATAGCCACAAAGACGTAAGCTTTGCCTTTGCAGAAGCAGTAAAGGAACTCAGGTAGAACTCATCTGGCTAATTCTCTCTGAAGCTGTCATGCTGTGAATACAAAAACCAACCCAGAAGGGTAACAAAGGAATCTGCACAGAAATGAATACCAGCAAGTGAAAGGAGTCACAGCCAAACCATCTGACACCCATGTTCAGGCTGAACCTACCAAAAAAGAACCCTTTTAGGGCTGCTTTTTTTTTTTGTTTGTTTGTTTGGTGTTTATAGCCAGGAGTGAAAAGCATCCAGGTCAGGGAGGCGGGAAACATTCCTTGCACAAACAACACCCAAACATTCCACATAGTAACAAAGCTCCAAGAAAATTACTAACATCATCTTCATAGAAAACTAGCCACAGTTAGACCTGCCTGATCATGAGTTAGGGAAAGAGAGGTGGATTTCAGTACACAGCCACAAATCAATGTGCATACTACCAAGCAACAAGTTTTCATTCCATGGAAAAATCCGGACTGTGGAAAAAACAAATCTCTGAACTGCAATCACATTCTCACTGCAAAAAAACAGATAGGAAGAGACCACTTTGAAGTTACTCTTCCTGCAGAAGCATGAAACAGCTTCCTTTCCTTTCCCTCTGTACATAAACTCTAGATCAGTTTTCCTAACATGAAAAAAATACAGCCACAGAGCAGCAAGGAGCATTAGCAAACCTGGAAAAGAGCAAAGATAACCAAATGTATTGAGCAACTCTGCCTCCAGACCAAAGCAGAGTTTATGAAAAACCTTACAGCAACAGAATTTAGCAACTAATTTTCTTTTCAAAGACATGCACATCTAAAGCAGCAAACTGACATAAAACTAATTTGTAAACTTCCCTGAATTCCAACTATATGTCTCCTACTATGTCCAGTTTCAAAACTGCTTCTTTCCAACCAATAAGCAAATAGAGCAACTAGTTGTCTTCTCCACTAGAGTCCATATTGAACAGGAATTGCAATCCTTTGTTTCAGGGTCTAAGCCATGTATCTGAATAATGAACCTAAACTGCTCTCAGTGGTCCATTGGCCAGCCAGATGTTTTAAATGGTCCATAATACATAGTAGTTTCAGTTTTGCAGATCAGAAGGCCAACACAGTTCAGTGCTGCTGAACAACCCAATGAGGGCCAACAGCACTTGCTACGAGAAGCAGCACCTTAGGAACCACCACAGCAGCAGACTAAGGAGAAACAAAATAAAGAAACCAAAATAATAAATTAAACAAATAATTATTTACATTTAATGCACCACTGGTGTGCCTAGAAACTGGAAACACACTCCTTTGTAGAGTCTACAGTCTTCAGCACTCCAAAATACTCTCAGCAAAACAAGCTGCTGACTTCACCGAGTATAGCCTGACTTTTTATCATGACTTTAAGAACAGCATGAGCAATGTGGAACTGAGCAGCACATGTATTTTTACAAGGCAGACCTTCAATGTCATCTGCTACACAACTACAGTCTTCATTTTTGCATCGATCTTTCTCTCCACTCAAGACAAATTCAGAGCATAGACACTCAAGGAAAATACTACATGCTGTGAAAGGAACGCTACTTAAAATAAAGCATCCTTCAGGTTTCTTTAAACCTACAAAGCCTCAAACCTCTCATAAATCTACGTCCAGACCATAGCAACAATTCATCGGTAAAGAACTGCTTTTAATGCTGATATTGCAGAATGCCAACAAAATCTGACTGTGACATTAATGGGTAATTGCTTGAAATTTGGTAATATTAAGTCACACTGTCACCCAGCTACTGAAGTTTTTTCAAGTTACAATTTTATCATTGACTAATTGCATTAATTTCTATTTAGGATAGGGAAAAAAACCCCATACATTAAACAAAACGTGGTAAAATGTTACATTCACAACTTTTTTTTTAACAGTAATACTTAGACACACATAAGGAACTGCTAAAAACACCAGCTTAGCCAGTTATATTAACACAAGTACCTTGTTGCCATTATTTGGGGAAATCGGGACATCAAGGATGTTAACTTCCTGACAGTCAAGGCATCAAGGTCAAAACAACTGGGGGTTTGAGCAGGCTACCTCTTGCTTGCAATCAGCTTGGGGTGTTACATCCGACGGCAGTTTCATATGTTCCACATTGGAGATGGGACCTCAGAGGTCCTACTCCCTATTTTTAAGGCTGTTCACGAATATAGACAAGTGCTAAGTAAGCAATTTTATGAACTCTAGATACATAGTCTACAGGTATTGCTCATAATTTAGTGTAACATGCAGTTTAAGGCTACTTCTAACATGAAATCACATTGTTACAGTGAACACTTTGTATTGACCCTTGATAATGAACTTTTCTGTTTATGTTTTAAGGATCAACTGTAACTATTTCAGTTGATGTACTGTTTCTTATAGATACAGAAAACCTAAGCATGCTATGACTTCCTATTTTTTTCCAAGAGCCTACTCTTAAGGAAGAGCAGATATTTACTAATTTATGCTAAATGATAGAGAATCAACTGCTCGGCAAAACAAAGAGCCCCTGCCCCATCCCAAATCCTCCATTTAAACATTCCATCCAAGTCAATGTTCCCAACACCCATGGCTTTCTGTTTCATGCTTTTTTTTTCAGATAAGCATTTAAACATCTTTAGATCATACCGAAAAATCAAGAATCAGAAAACAGCTTTCCAAAACAAACCTGCACTTTTAGCAAGTCCAAAGGAACAGGCACACAAGCATGTTTCACAGCATATGCTGTGTCTAACCCAAACACTAGAAGCCTTGGATCCATTACCAAGAGGATCACGATGTGAAATCAAAAGACAGTAACACAGAACTGTGTATCTAATTCCAGACACCTGTAGTTTAATTACATTTCACAACAAGGCAAGCATTGTTGTGATGCATTTGAACTTGAAAAAGCAGTTATCACCAGTTTTGGTGAGTCAACACACACTAATATCTCAAATCAATTCTGTGAACAATGAAGCCAAGTTTTCCTTTTCAGTAATTTTATTCTAATGTGAAACATGAAGAAACAAGCACCCAAAAAACTCCAATATAGTATGAAACTTTAATAAAAGTTGCTTAAAAAACAAAGAGCAAAATTTTAAAATAAACTGACTTGACCCCTAATCACACACATCTTTCTGACATTAGGAAGAGTACTTTCAGACTGTCGGGGAAAAAAAAGAAACAAAGATCTGCTGTTGAAACATTACTCCCAAAGACTGTTGAAATGCATAACATGAAGCTTCAGAGACAGACAGTTTTATTAACAGGAGGCTTAATTTTAAACAGTATATACAAATCACATGACTTTTCCAAAGTTGGGACCACCTAGTACTCTGTCAAAACAAAATTATGCTAATGAATTACAGAAGCATCTGTGTAATGCAACCGCCTCTTTATTGAAGTACACCTTTATACAATCCTTCCACGCATTCCTGTACTGTGAAATCCTCTCAGGACGCAGAGCTGCACAGGTTTGCAAATCTCTCCTACACACCACATGAATAAAACTGTTGCCACTTGCACCTCTCAATTTTGCCTGCCCATACACTTCAGTGTTCCATGGTATGCAACACCAAATAGCACTGTTCTTCTTTGTCAAAAAAAAAAAAAAAACCAAAAATAGTTTGAAGTTTACTGTGTTTAAGTACAATGATTTGCAGGGAATAGCAGGATTTTTTTCAGGCAATGTCCAAGTCTTAAAATTTATCATAAGCCAAGCAAGGATGAACCAAAAAATTTCTACTTTTCACTTGCGTAATTACTTCCTTTCCATTTCTCTGTTTTTCCATGGAAGGTTTCACTGCACAACAAATAAAATGGTAACTCTTTACAGACTTTGAATACAACAGCACAACTTTATTGCAAAAATATATAGTAAACTCAGTACTTTCAGGTTTTGGAGAAAAATAAATTTTATCTCTGAATTCACCCACAGCAGTAATTTACAACAGAGTTGCTGAAGATACAAGTTTCTTCCATTATAGCCTAATTTAAAACTTTATCTGGACTCCAATCTTCTACTAATAATCACCATTTTTGTTCTCTTAGCAGAGACTCTATGTGAGGAGTTCAAGAGACATGTGAGAAACACTAATATCCAACTAGTGTCAAAGATCCTTTCTCAACTGATTTGTGTAATCCTAACAAATCAAGCTACTTAAACAATAATTATTATTTTCAACTGAAAACATTTAAAATGTACTATAAAACTCATATGATTTAAGTTTGAGGTTAGCTATACTTGTGGCAAAAGTCTTATTCTGAACAGTTATAATTGCAATATATAAATTACTAAAGGTTATACCACACAGAACAGCTTGAATTTTACAGAACGATTCTGCTCATACTCATAGGAATTAGTTTGGTAGACATATCAGCAAAGGGCATAATTCAACTGTTCATACAGTGAGAATTTTGGAAAAAAAGAAAGATACATACACAAAACAATTGATCTGTGTACACTGAGAATTCATTCAGTTGCAGAATAAAATCAGGACTTTAAACAAAGCTTTGACCTGTGAACAAAGCAAATTCAGCCAGCTTTTAACCAAATCTAAAAATAGCTATCTAATTTACAATGGCTTACAAGAACACCACTGAAGAGCTTCACCGACTTTATCTATTTCCCTTATCCAAGACTATGTCAAACGAATCTCAGTTTCTCAATAAGCACTGTGTCCAGAAGAGTTTACCAAACTTTTATGACGAATAAGAATCTGTCCAGCTTCTCCACATATTTGTAAGAGGAAAATCCACCACACCTCTCTCCTTGCGGTGTTTCTCATGTAATGGCTAAACCAGTGCTCTGTTTTATCAAGACCCATCTGTTTTACAATTTAAACAATCCACAGGTTCTATCCTGGAAATACTATAAAAACCAATCCAGATGCATTTGTCACAGCACTATGAATATCTATTCTACAACTACTTGATGAACAGCTACCCTAATAGAAGTTTTACTTTTCTGGAACCTATAGGTCTGTCATTTAAATCAACAACAGCTGCCATAGCTTCATCACGAGACTCAAATGCAACCATTGCTTCTCCAGTGGGCATGCCTTTTTCATTGTATTTTAAGCACACGGAACCAGGAATCACTTGGTAACCATAAAAGAAATCCAAAATTTCATCCACCGAAACGGTAAAGGGCATATTCTGCACTTTAATGACAGTTGGCCCCGGCTTCCCAGACCCTGTTCCAAAGCCTGGGGGTCCACCAATATGTATGTTTCCTGGTCCAGGTCCAAACCCTGGAGGTCCACTTAAATGTCCAAGACCACTAGCAATTGCTGGAGGACCAGCACCGAAGGCAGGGGGCCCACCTAAATTGCCAGGACCATTACCAAATGTCTGAGGACCCCCTGCAAAACCTGCTGGTCCACTCAAATTAGCAGGACCACCTGCAAAACCTGGTACCTCAATACTTGCACCAGGTAAACCACTAGCTGCAACTGTGGGTATTCCTGGTCTAGAATCAGGAAAGCCACCTATTCCAGGTGGCGGTAAAGGGGGACCAAATGTGCTAGACCCACTGAAGTTACCAGGGAAATTAAACGGAGGACCATTGTTTGTGTCTTTAGCATTTCCCCCCAAGAAGGCATGCTCATCTCCACCAGGGCCCGGTGCTCCTGGCACAGCTGCATTTCCCTGGATTGGTATTTTCAGGATCTTTTTTCCTTGAGATGCTGGGTTTCTCTCAATATCTCTCATTTCTTCTACAGTTATCAAACGCAAATTAACATCTCTTCCATTCAGTTTTTTACGGTGCAAGCGTTCTGCCTTATGAGCATCATCTTCAGCTTTAAATTGAACCAGTGCTTGTCCTAAACCTTGGCCATTATTATCAACAAGAATTTGTACAGAGTTTTCTTCTACTGCCAGTCCCTCTAGAAACTGAAGTATTTCAATTTTTGTTATATTGTATGGAATATTAGATATATGCGCACACAGTTTTGGCAAGCCTGATTCTCCCTCAGCATTCATCAGAATTTCCCTCTGGTCATAGCTGAAGTTCTGCAATCTTTTACGAATCATATCTATCTTTTCTAACATTGCCTTTTTAGTAATTGGATGTACCTGAATGAAGCGATTACCTATGTACTGCTTATGATGACACAAAGCTGCTTTATAATCAGCTTCATTCCTGAATTCAACAAACCCCTCCCCAATTGCCTTCCCATTAGGTCCATAAGCTATATAAATGCTGTCCTCAACTATATCCAGCTTTTTAAAAAAATCTATCACATGTTTGTTCTCTGATTCAAAGGGAAGACCTTTCAAATAAACACAGAAACCGTGCTCATGGGGAGATCTTGACCGTGACCTTTTCTGTCCAGTGGGAGATTTGGACCTAGGATGAGCCTGGGAAGGAGGATGTGCCTGCCCAGAGGGACCCATGGTTTGCTTGAAAGTTATGTGGCCTCCAGCAGCTACCCACTGTCTCTCTGTTGCAGGACTAACTTCAACATAGCGCTGAATCATCAGCATTCTGTTTCGCTTCAGTGCTTCAAATGTATCTTGAGGAGAAAAAAACTTAACTAGTCCATTTCCATTATTTCGACCTACATGATCCTTCAGCATATGGACTGCATCCACACGGAGCCCAAGGAAAAAGTCTTTCACATCAGATTCTGTTGCAGTAAAGGGCATTCCATGAACGCTGACATACAAATCATCTGGATTGATTGGAATTGGCTTGACACTACCTTGAGAATTCATCTGGATAGGATTTACAGGATTCATGGGACCAATAAACAATGGATTCAAGCCGCTGTTCATATTCACTGCTGCTCCAGACCCATTCATTCCAGTGGGTAAGGGTGCTACGGGTGGAGGATTCATAGGAGGCATTCCTGATATGGGAGGCAGAGGCGTCATTGGAGGTACAGGGGGCACAGGGGGTATCGGAGGAACTGGAGGAACAGGAGGCAGTGTGGGTACAGGAGGTGGAACAGGTATAGGGGGAATAGAAGGCATTGGTGGCAAAGATGGCATAGCTGGGATAGGAGGGATTGGTGGAGGAGGTACTGTGTTCATTGGGGATGCTGTGCTAGGTATAGTTGAGCTAAATGTTGGACTACCAAAAGTACTCCCAAGATTTGGAGGTGCAGTGCCAATACTGGCAGTAGAAAATGTGGATATGTTTTTATTGCTTTCATGCACCGTAGTAGAAGCAGTTACTACACTAGGAGAAGGATTATTAAAGTTAGGTACAGTAGTAGGTAAGTTAACCCTTCCACTCATTCCAGAACTAGGTGGTGGTCCCGACCTGCTAGCATTTGCTGGTGGCACATCTAGATTGGCAGTTTCAAAACGCCTACGACTGAGCTCTATCATGTTCTGCATTTCAGTTTTACTGCTCAGCAACAACGTTACTTTTGACCCTTTAATTGTACCACCTGTGCGCATCATACCAAGCCTTGCATCTTCATCAGTGGCAAAAACGATGAAAGCCTCACCCAGTTCACCCCCTACAATATGCACGCCCCCATCGGGAATGGTCAATCCAGAGAAGAAGTGGCGAATGTCCATGGTCCCCGCCACAATCGGGAGACCTTGCAAGCGGATGACCACAGCCATGCTGCGCTGAAACAACACACACCTGCAGATGAGAAAAGGCAACGGCTATGTCAGACTACTGTTCATGACACCATGCAATTACCTAGAGACACCATCTACTATATTTCTTTTTATACACCTAGTAACATCTTGCAAAGATTAGGCGTGTTTATATTCCAAGTTCCTTATTCATGCTTGCTTACTTCATACAGACTGAAGTATTAAACATTTACCAACATAATCAGTATACATTTTGCGCTAGAAATTCAAAAATAGCTGTTATACTAAGATCCACAAGTGTCAGTTAAAAAAACCAAAGGAACATCAAAAATCAGAACTATTACAGCACTAATTAATGGAATGTAAGCAAAAGGAGTATTTTAGCCACACAAACCAAAATTAATTTACTGTACACCAATACGGTATCCACTGTACCTCACAACGTGGCTGAAAACTTCTGCACAGCTATAGGAAACAAACAATTCCCTTTAATTTGGGGAAGGATTTTACCTCCTGCCAGGTGAAGACAACAAAAAACATAACAGTGGGTTGGTAAAGAACAAAAACCCATTACGGACAACTAGCAACCATGAAACCCATAAGACATCCTGACAGGGAGCATCTATATTATACTGACCTGATGTTTTTTCTCCTAGAAAAGGACCCATCCTAGAAGAGGTCCAGGTGACCTGAAGCTTGCTATTATAAACTAGCCCCAGACATTTTGTGACAATAGAGACCTCATCTAAATTAAATTAACATCTATGCATATCTAGGTAACTATATGACCTTTACAATTTTCAAAAACAAGGTTATTTTTTAAAAGTTGCAGATATTCTGTCTAGCATGACCTCTTACGTCTCAGACATCAGTAAATGAATTTTATCTCCACAGCTGGCATTAGTAGATGCTTAAGGTAATTCTGAACAGCTAAATCTGAACAGTTACCTTGTGACCTCGAAGTCTGAGGTCATATCAGAAGTTGAAGATAAAGAGGAAACTAGATACTTGTCACTTATGCAAACCTTCAGCAAAGGCTGAAAGCATGATATTAAATAGCATAATTCAACATGTCAGAAGCCAGTCTCTCATCCTAAACCATCAGCAACGGCACCATGCTTCACTTGAGCCACTTAATCTCTGAAACTTCTTGACTTCCTAAATACAAGCCAGTTCAGTAACTGTATGGAAGATCTCCAAGGCTCCCGTAAGTCACATACCAATAAGTGTTAACTCAGCATTTGAAATCAAGGATGAACCAGATCACAGAATCACACAACTGTTTAGGCTGGAAAAGACCTTAAAGACCAGGTCCAACCAGATGCCCCAATGTAACACCACAAAGCTATGCATCAAAGACTTCCAGCCACTACCAAAGCTCTGACCAACCACAATCAATAACTGCCTCCCAGCAATTCAGCTATATCCCAGCATACAGTGAAATCTCTAAGCTGGCTCCATTTGCCTGGCCAGGTCATCCAAACGCTTTAGAGAAGACAAGTCTTGAATGACTAGGTAAAGCCACAGTTTAATCAGGTAAGGCTGAATCCAGTACTTAATGAAAACAAGAGCAGCAATTCTTCTATGGGGTGAAGAAGCAGCAATTCTTTGGTTTGCGTAATGGAATCTCAGATTACTAAAATGAGACCTTAAGTACTTTGTTCTGTTAACCAACACACCAGAGCTAAATTCTTCAACACATTAATGAACTCAAGCAACATCCTGGGGTATTATAGGGCATTGCCCCACAACTATTATCAGACACCACAAAAATGTGAAGGACTTTTCTCTCTCAAGGAAACAGCAAACAAGCCCATTTGCACAAAGTCAGCGCTGCTGCTCTAGTCACTGTGCATGAATATTGGATTCCTTACTACACCATCCTGAGAGACTAGAACTTGCAGTTCATAACATAAGAAGATTAAAAAAAAAAAAAAGAAAAAACACCACTAAGAAAACCCCTATTCCATCAAGGAAAGAAAGCAACAGAAAGGCTTATACTATATACTAAGCTTCAGGGACAATTTTTTTTGAGAGCAACTTTCTCCTCTCCATGGTGAGGCAACAGAAGGAACATCCTTGCTTTTAGTTCTTATAGTGGAATTACATTTAATCCGAAAATAAAATTCATTGCCCAATCATTTTCCAACAACAAAATAACTTGCCCATTAGGAAAAAAAACACAAGTCAAAGTAAGGACAACCTATGCTATCTAAAGCATCTAAAAACATATCTAATATTTTTTGCACTGTTTTAAAAAGCAGTGTTTTATAATGATTCTGTTTTATTTTAAATTTGCCTAGCATTGATGGCAATCTCTGGAATTAAAGATAAAATGAAATTTCTGCCTCCGTTAAAGAAGCTATATTAAAGCTTATTGTAAACCCAAGGTTTATGTTGTGCTACAGAATTGCTTCTGAATTAGACGATCCTGAGGCAAGCAAGTGGTATAAAAGTATCCCTGGCTTGGCACCTATGCTTTCAAAACTGGAATACTACTAAAAGCAAATCTTGCCAAGAGGTTTAGATTTCTTCTACTACCTATTATGCATAGAAATTAGTTTCAGAAATTTTATGTATCAGAAGTTAAAGACATTTGAAGCATCTTGTGTTAAGCAAGAGACTACTTTTAGCTATTTCCTTAATGCAAAAGGGATGACAATCTAATATAGCCATTGGTTGAACAAAGGCAACAGGGAAGGTGTGGGAAGACCTTGTACAAAAGTCTGCTGGTTTGGAACACTTTACATTCTTTAACAGAACTGACACATGCTAGATAACTGCATTTATAAATTATTGCAGCCCAGAGGATAAACCAACAGATGAAGTCACAGAAGAGTTCAAGCATTTGAAAATTTACATAACTTCTGGGATAATGCAAATATTTCAGTTTTGCATTAAATTCAAAACTTCATAATAAATGCTAAGAGAGTACTTGCAGTTTTGTTCCTAAGTACTCTATTCAGATCCACTAAATCACTACTGACAAAAAATCTAAAGAGCCGCTTAGGCATATAGTTACTAAAAAAACTATCTGCAATGACTTCAGTGTAGTTTATTCCACACAGAGTATTAAGCAAATGCTTACTTAATATTAAGCAAGAGCTGACAATAACATGGTCTGAATAAAAAGAATTTTAAGGACTTGACTAATCAAATATTTTTAACAAAGGAACACATAACACAGCTGCTTCATTTTTTCAGAATTTCAATACTTAGACAAAGTAGTAGTGTCTGTTGTGTTATTTACAGAAAAATCTCAAGGACCAAAAGGGCCAAATTTTAAATTTCTAAACACTCACAAACTACATTTTTTCCAAAATTAACTTAGGAGGTAATAACCCACTTGCTCAAATTTTCCAAGTAATGAAAATGCAAAGCCTGCTCAAATATTTCACTGTTCACTTGCAAAGACCAGCACATGCAGAGGCAACATTAACTTCAGAGACAAAACAGGCCACACATCAGTTCTACAGGCACTGAAGGCTTTTTTTGTTGGGCTGTCAGTTCTCAGGCTGCCTGTTTGTCTCATAGTACAAAAAGGTACTCCAAGGCAGAAGTGGGTTTCATTGCCATTTTGTGTGTTTTGTATATTTCTGGAAAGACAACATCCTAGGAGCGTACTATGGACAATCCATCCCCATTAGCAAGTTGTGATCAAAGCTGGAGATTTACAGGCTGCTGACAACCAATGTGATTCAACTCATTTGATGAATTTTAACATGTATTGACAGAAATATCTTTAAAAATGTTGATGTTACACTGGAAGAAAAGGTGACAATACTAAAAGATGACAATATAAAATATTGTCATAGTATCAAAATACTAAAAGATGTAAAAGATGACAATACTATTTATCTCTAAATGCGCTAGTTACTAAAATAGTAATAATTTGGGTCCTACATATAAATTCATGAGCACACCAGATTAGCCTTTTAAGATGTATGGATTGTGCAATAGAAAAGTTCAGAAAATTCATCCTTGCCCCTGGGATGAATACCCACAATACCCACATGATACACACACACACTCAAAAACATATTTGGCAATTGTTGGATGAAGACTAAGAACCTCAGAAACATTGGTACTGTAGGAGGAATTTTAAGCATGAGAGTGTCTCACAAAAGTTAAAACTGCAAACTACAGTTTTGTCTTTTACTTAAGGCTAAAATCAACCTGTTACAGTCATCTTGGGGCCAATTCAAAACTATCTGACCCCTTTAAGTTCTGCAAAACCTAATTATAACCAATTGATGTACACTTCTATATTCCAACAGTTACAAACACACAGACCTGTGGCTTATAGCAAAGTAACTGCATTTTCCAACAGTGCAAAATAAACGGCAGAGTGCTCCAGACTACCACATGCTGATGAAACAACAAAATATATTAGTTTGCCAAAAAAATCTGTTTACAAGAAAAACATTGCCAAAAGCACCACCACCAGTAGTGAGTAGACAAGCTACAGATTGACTCATGTCTTTTGAGACTTGATAAATTTACAGATGCAAAAAGCTCCATGTGTTTCTTAGGATATACTCAATATGCATATAAAGAAGTCTTCAATTCAAAAGCTCTTACCTGCAAAGACAGATGTTTTTTCTTAACAAGTAGCAGAAGCCAAGCCAATCCTGTGGGCAACCAATTAAAACCAACTTTTAGACTGCAATAAAGAATAAATGGAGGCAAAAATCAATGCAGGCAACACAATAGCAGCAACAGTCCACAAAGAACTGTATACACAGAATTTCAAACCTGCAACCACCACAAGGCACTGCAACATAAAAGAATCATAAGGGTTCATTTTCTAGACATAATCTCTATATGACTTACTGGCAATTGCATTGTAGAGCTTTTGTATGGTTTGAAAACATAAAGATGCCTTCCACAAAGAATATAGAAAGAGCCAGAAAGCATTTAAAGAGCCTTCCAAATTTTCCCATCACCAATAGGTGAACAAATCTCTCTTTCAAAGGCAAAGAACAAAAGTTAAATACTTGAAAGTCCTGAATTTTACCAAACCCTTGCTCCATCAATAATGGTATTCCTTTCTCCAACTGTGGATCTACTTACTTGAACAAAGTAGGTAGAGTAAGCCACGCCTAAGAAAACTATCCTAGAGCTGCACCTGAAGAATTCTTGAGTCACACTAGCCGGGTGAAACTAAGTGACATTTCACAGCCATATCTATGCAGTCAACTCCACAGAGCACACAGCAAGAACTCCTGTAAGATGCTCTACTTTCATTTGTAATCTGCCATTTCATTACCCAAATCCTCATCAAATGCCCATTTTTTTCATCTCTGTATAAAAAATATCTTCACAGGTTCACAGATGAACAAAAAAGCCAAGCATTTTAAGTGGCAACACAAATATTTTGTATTTAAAAATGGGATGGAAAACCTTTGTTCTATCATTACTTGGCAAACCACCTCACACTAAAACTGTGATTCTTTGGAAAGCCATTGAGGAATGAATCTCACTAAGAACAGATAACTACCTCCTTCTCACACAACCCCAACAACCTGGTTTCAGTTACAAGCATCATTACCAAAGTGAACTTAGAGCAAAAAGTACTAACAAACAAACTCCCTAACAGAACTAAAACAAACATAACTATTCGCATATCTTCTAGGTCATTAATGGTAGACTTACAAGTGAGAAAGATGAAACTACACTTATATTAAAATGGCAAACGCATTTAGAAAAATAAGACTTTTGTTTATTAGACCTTTAGGAGAAACATGCAATCCTATATTAGAAGAACTCAACTATATACTTTCATGTATAGCAGTGTCAACCAGAAGTTTACAATGACAGAAAGAAATGCAATAACCTGAAAAACTGTTTTATGCAAACCCACACCTGCTTCAAGCAGCAGATAAATCTTTCATGCACAAGGAATTTCCCATTTAGAAGAAAAGCCTAAATCATTAGATGGACTTCCAGTATAGCAACCATGTTCCTCTTCACAACTGAAAACAATCTGAAGATCTGCAGTGGACTAGAACAACACAAACAAAACAAGGCAGCATTCAGAATAGGTGCAAAACTCCACTCTCCTATGTTTAACTTCTCCACCCAATACCATCTACTTTTCATTTCAAGTCTCATATCTCTCAACTTTAAGGAAAACCATCCATGCCTTCTGTAGGCAAAAATAACCTTTCCAATCAACAGAATACACAAGAGCACATTAACTAGACGAGCATCAGCTAGAGCACAGGTGCTCCCACACAGAGCTGGCACTGCATCTCTGGGAGTTCTCCGGAAAACCTCCACAACACCCTGTCCACTATACAGAAAGGTCCAGCATCCATTGGACACACAACAAATTATTAAACCAGAGGAATCCACCAAGGAAACAACCATCCGATTTGCCTGCCTAACCCTAGTAGATCAAGGTGGGGAAGTAAACCACTAAGAATAACAGTTAAGTTTGAGTAAAACCAGAGCCATGAGATTTTTTGGAAAGAAAACTCTCTCTGTGTATTTCCGGGGCTCATTTGAACGCTAATTAGTTTTTTTTGTTTTTTGGTGGTTTTTTTTTTTTTTTTTTTTTTTCCCTGGGAAGGGTGGCTTTAAGTTTGTTTTGTTTTTTGGGTTTTTTTTTTTTTTAGTTTAGAGATTTTGGGGAAGGAGGGCGATATTTTGTTTGGTTGGTTGTTGCTGTTGGTTGTTTTGGGTTTTTTTTAGCGGAGCTAACTTTTACTAGCAGAAGAGACTACTGAACAGCAACTCTGCAGGTGTTTATAGGGTACCCCCGACGAGCGTTGACAGCGCCGCAGACACCGGGGACCTTCCTCCCCGCGGAGTGCTTGCCTCGCTTCGTCCCCAGGGGTGGGGAGGGGCAAGGCGCAGCAGACGCGCCTGAGCACCCCAGGGATGGAGACACGCCAGGGCCCCGCGCCGACAACGGGACCGCAGAGCACCCCACACCCGGCCCGCCGAGCGCCGCTCCGGACCGGTCAAATCCCCGCCTCGGGCACCGGCACTGCCCCCGCCCTGCGGCCCGTGCCCCGGCTCGGGCCCCAGGGCCACCGCAAGGTCACTCGGCCGTCCCCGCCGGACGGGCCCGTGGCGACTGCGTTCGGCCCGCACAGACTCACCTGCCCGCGCAGCTCGGCGTGCGCGGGCGGCGAGGGGGAGCCACGGACGGGGCAGCGGCCGAGGCCGGCCCGAGCCGCGGGCCTCAGTGCGCCGGGCCGCAGCGAAGCACGAGCGGCCCCGCTCGGCGCCCCGGGGCGGGAGGCGCCGTCCGGCCCGGCCCGGCCCGGCCCTTTGTGCGCGAGGACGCGCCCGCCCGGCCTCCCTCCCCGCGTCTCCCCGCCGAGAAGCGGGCTCGAAGCGCGGGACTGGGCAGGCAGCCCGGCCTGCCCGGGCGCCGCCGCGCTCTTACCGAGGGATCTGTACGGGAAAAAGGGGTTAGAATGGAGCCACCCCGCCCGGGCCCGCGGCGCGCCGAGCTCCGCGCCACCAACCGCAGCCGCACAAAATGGCCGCCGCGATGCGGCGCCGCTGGGGGCGGGGGCCGGGCGGGGCAGCACGGGAAAGGCGGGGTCGCGCGCGGGTGGACGGCGCTTGCGCCGGACTGGGCGGGGCCCGTGGCCGGAGCCGTCCCGGGGCCCGCAGCCGTCCCGGGGCCCGCAGCCGTCCCGGGGCCCGCAGCCGTCCCGGGGCCCGCAGCCGTCCCGGGGCCCGCAGCCGTCCCGGGGCCCGCAGCCGTCCCGGGGCCCGCAGCCGTCCCGGGGCCCGCAGCCGTCCCGGGGCCCGGGCGTGCGCAGCCCTCGCGGCGCCGCTGAAGGCTGCTGCTGAGGGCACGGGGACTCAGGGAGAGCATTGAACTTCGAAGTAAGAAAACAACCCTGAGATCGGCTGTTTCTATCCTCTTGACGTACGACCAAGTTGCAGAATAAACATTAAAGACTCCTGGGAGCCGATGCCCCGTGCTGTGTTTTTCCTTGGCTTGACTGAATACAGCACTGATAACCAGGCAGTGCCCTGAGCTCGGGGACCCCGGACTCTTCTGGGTTCTCCGCCACTGTGCTTCAACGGACACAGGCACAGCAGCACCAGCCATTTCCAGTGGAAAAAAAAAAAAAAAAAACAACCCTGTTTAGTCCTCTGCAAGAAACAGATAAAAATAAATAATTACCTCCCTTTGCAAACGCTTTTGCAGTGAATGTTGGAGTTCAACAACTCGGTTAACTTTGGCCCTGATTTCTCTTAAGGGTGAAGACCAACAGATTGTCGTGGTTGTGCTCTCCTGAGGCAGAGTGATCCAGTGTGGGGCTGCTCAGCAGCACAGTAATGACCACTCCATCATTTGTTTTCCTGTATATCCCCTCTTTTTACTTCCAAATTCTATTTTACTACTCTCATCCCCTCTCAGGCAACAGCCCACACTTGCTTATCTTCTCCCTATTTACCCCAGTTTTTCAGCTTTTGTATTCTATTTGGTATTTATGATTATAGATTGCCTGAAAATAACAGTTCTGCCAACCTAAAATCTCCTTGTCTTGGCAAGTGTAGGCAGTATCCAGTAATTCACCTTTCTATAGCACTAGTGACAATAGATAGGGTTGGCTGTCACCATGCATCCTGACATAGCCCAGAAAAGCAAGTGATTGAAGTCACCAGAGGCATCAACAGCGAGGCTTGCCAGCTTCCCTGGAGAGCTGGTTGCCTAGGACATGTCAGGAGTAGCAGGAAAATCTGCAGCTCATGTCTTCACTCTGTAACACCACAGCACTTCCCAAGCTGCACCAGCCACCCTGCAGTGGGATACAGTGTGGGATAACATAACGACAGTGCTGGAATACCCCAGGTCAGAGGAAAAGTAAGACTTTTCAGCTTTTGTGCAATGCGATTAGTTGCCACATTACTTTTTGTTGTTCAAAAAAAGTACGGTGAAGATACTTGTGAGGTTTACTGTGTGGACCATTAGGAGCGTGCCAAGGGACCCCTGAGTACCTAAGACAAGTCAGCAGCATGATATTTATCAATAGGAGGAAAGTATCTATGGAAAGTAAAACATTGATAGACGGAAGGTTAAAGGACAAGGGATCATGTAACCATGTTGAATTGCGGTGAAAATCAAGACCCCACAATTCCGATACAGATTTGTAGGGACGGTATATTTTATTACAGAGCTGGACTAACGGGCAGGGATTTCCCACGAAGAGATTTCCCTTCAAAGGGCATTTGTGCCCCTTGGGGATTCCCAAGCCTTTTTATTCTCCCGTATTAATTTACATATACATAGAATCTCACAATAGGTTTATGCATATTCATTCTGCTGATTTCCCTTACAATTTACAGTTGGTCCTTTGTACAGAGAACACTCTAATCCCTTTGTCCATTTTTTTTGCAGACAACTTTGGTTTTGTTTTTTTTTTTCTTCTTAGTTTCAGAGTTCAAAGGGCCCCTCTTATCTCTTCACCTTGGAGATTGCATTCTTTTCTCCTTGGCTGGGACAGTTTTACAAGCACAGCAGAGTTAACAGACTAAACAGCATATTTCACTCATGTTAGCAAGCTACTATGCAGTACACTTCATCTAAATCCAGATGGATTTTCTACCCCGTTAAATTTTACTGTTTCAATGTCCAGTGTTTTCCATGTAACATGTATGTGGGGAGGCTGATAGAGGAATAAAAGCATTAGAAAAGAATGGGATTTTCCTTTATTAGACACTAGGAAACCACTAGGAGCACACTAATTTATGTGTCTCCTTGTTCTGGGTTGACTGTATGATGCTTTTATCCCAAATCATCTGTTCTGTTTATGCTGAATAATAAGTTTTGCACCTTTAAGTCTTGCTCCAAGAGTGAAGGTGGGGGGTGGGGGGAAGCGCAGAGTTTGTTTTCAAAAACTGCACTCCCTCCTCCACATTCCTGCTACTACACTGTGTTGTCCGTGGACAGACATACAGTGAGACAAAGCTCTCCCTTGCTTTTAGTTAGTTTTAGCTAGCTGAGTGTTCTAGGGTGATGTTATGGTGCTTGTATCCCCAATCGTGTGTTCTGTTTATGTTTGATATTATGTTCTGTGCTTTCAAAACTGATTCTGAAAGTGAAGGTTTGTTTTGTTATCAGCCAGCTCACCTTCCCCATGGTCTGTTGTCTAGAAGAGGCTAGTGCTGGCTGGCTTGCTTGCTTTTGCTCCTGCTTCTGCTTTTGCCTTTGCTTTTGCTTGTTAGTTTAGCTAAGCAGTCTAATTTTTTTTTCCCTGGACTGTTTTTTTTTTCCTTTCCTTTCCCTTTCCTGAATATCATTTCAACCTGCTCCGGACTGGGACATGGGAAACACTGAGGAACACCGAGAGTCTGCGTTTTGTGATCTGCAGCAGCCATCCCCAGCGCCAGAGAGCAATCCCCAGCACCCAGACCCAGGCCGATCATTCCCAAGAGAGACTCTCTGGATTTGTCATCTCTTCAGAGTGGTGAAAAGAGTTTTTTTGTCATCTGGTGTTGTTAATTTTCTGGTGCTGGGGAGTATTTTGACTGTTAAATAAACAGGTTCTTTTCCACTTCTCTCCATGGAAATTTTGCCCAAACCAGGTGGTGGGGAGGGGCCTTGAGGGTTTGTTTTCTGGGGGCTCCTTCCAGAGGTTTTTCTCCCAAATTTACCCTAAACTAGGACACTGAGGCAAAAAAGTTCCCTGGACTGTGGCTTTTCCTTTTCTTTGGTCCTGCTCAAACCTGCTCTGGACTGAACACCAGAAGAACACCATCAGCTCACACTAGTAGCCCAGTGGGCCTGGCCTGGGCTGCAGCATTTCCTGTTTGTGATGACCCTCATTAGCTCATCTTCCTGCTCAGGTGGCCTGCACAGACCCCCACTATGATGTCACCTGTCCCTGACCTCCATTTAAGCCTGACTTCCTAAACTCTCAGTCAGTTCCTCATTCATCCCCAAGTGGAGCTCCATGCACTTCTGCTGGTCATTGGCATAAAGAGCAACATTGTCTCTCTTCTCCCCTGCCTGTATCCTTCCATTTCAACCCTCCAGTCACAAGAGTCATCCCAACACATCTCCCTGCTGTTAATAAGATCACAGCCCTGCAGGCAAATGAACAGTTCTAACTGAAACGGTTCTCATTTCAGATGCCTTTGTTTTTTTCACTGTGTGAAGGGCAGAGCCTTGAAGAGTAGGAGAACTGGCCCAGGACCCATCCTCTGGGGACTCTCTGAGGGCAGAAAATGAAAGAGTTCCCAGCTCGGAGAGGCCCCAGCACAGGGAGATCACTGCAACCCAGGAGAGCCGCCAAGAGTCTCACTTAGGGCCATTGTTTACAGGGCCACAAGAGATGGGCTTTAGTCACAACAGTGTTTCATCCTAGCCCCACTTCAGGTCAGCAACTTTCTTTGAAAGTGGGAGAAAAAGAATATTTTGCCATTTAAAAAAAAAAAAAAAAAAAAAAAAAAAAAAAAAAAAAAAAAAGCAGGAGCTCATTGTATGGCAGCAGTTCCTGGAGCAGCTGAACCCAAGGGCTGTTTAAGGCCAAGGCCCAGTAAGCATTTTTCAGATCACAGTGCAGCCCAGGTGGGGGGATGATGCACCATCATTTATTGGCATCTAACTGGTAAGAGTGGGATAGACTGAAGTTCCATCCCCCAAAGGCTTTAACTACATTCAGTGAGGTACAGATAGACGTTCATCCTTGGCATTACTTTCTGTCATGGGGGAAGTATCACCACTATACATTTTTCCTCATCTTGTCCCATAAACATTTCAAATAAACATTTGTTGTAAGTATGAATGAGTTTCCCTAAACATTACAAGTAGAATTTTTATTTTAAATCTTATAATATAAAAGGTGGTCAGAATCTTCAAGATTTGAGGCTCCCTTTTGTGAAAAATGCGTATTTATGATTGGCTTTTCGCAAATGTTACAATGAATATTATATGTGTAATGTTAGAAAGTTATGCTGTATTTATTCTCTTATGTATTGTGTTAAGTGTAGCTTTAGGTTACAACATAATGTTAAAATAGAGACTATGTATGTGGGGGAAGTTTTTTTTAGGAATGAGATACTTGCTTCGAGGAACACCTAAATCTTCCAAAGGAGAGGAATTTATGGCTTCTTATCAGAAGAAACTAATTTCTTCAGGCCTTGCTCAGACTTGAAGACGCCAGGGGATTAAAGGAAACAGTTGACATACAACAGACAGAGTTTCTTGTTTAGAATAGAACGTATGCATAACCATAAAGGATGTATGAATATGCAACAAGTGTATTGGTTTAAGGGTGATTCCTTTGTACACAAGTCATGCTTTTCGTGACTTAGTGTCTGAAAGCATCTGGACGTCCGTAATTATTTGCTTTTTATTGTCTTGTAATTCTCCTAACTCTAAGCTTTATTA